ATTCCCAGCTCGGATCTGGGAATGTTCCCCAAAATTTCCCAGCTGGGAATTCCCTGGGGAAGAGGGAAACCAAAAGGGGCTGGAAAAGGGATGGAAAAAAAAAAAAAAAAAACTGGAAAAAAGCTGGAAAAGGGCTGGGGGAAAAGGTGGAAAAGGGATGGAAAAAAATGGGGAAAAAGCTGGAAAAAAAATGAAAAAAAAAAACTGGAAAAGGGCTGGGAAAGGGATGGAAAAAGGATGAGAAAAAGCTGGAAAAAAAGGTGGAAAAGGGATGGAAAAAAGGTGGAAAAAAGGTGGAAAAGGGATGAAAAAAGTCTGGAAAAAAACTGGAAAAAAGCTGGGAAAATAAATTAGGAAAGGGATGGAAAAGGGGCTGCAAAAAAGCTGGAAAAAAGGTGGAAAAGGAAAGGGAAAAAGGTGGAAAAAAGATGGAAAAAAGGTGGAAAAAAGCTGGGAAAGGGATGGAAAAAAAGTTGGATAAAAGCTGGAAAAGAAAGCTGGGAAAGAGCTGGAAAAAAATGCTGGAAAAGGGATGGAAGAAAACTGGAAAAGAGAAAAAGGCTGGAAAAGAGCTGGAAAAAGATGGAAGGAAACTGGAAAAGAGATAGAAAAAAAAAGGTGGAAAAAGGGTGGAAAAAAAACTAAGAAAGGGATGGAAAAGGGGTGGAAAAGGAAAGGAAAAAAGGTGGGAAAAAGGTGGAAAATATCTGGAAAAAACTGGAAAAAAGCTGGGAAAAAAAACTAGGAAAAGAATGGAAAAGGGGCTGGAAAAAAGGCGGAAAAAAGGTGGAAAAAAGGTGGAAAAAAGGTGGAAAAGGGATGGAAAAAACTGGGAAAGGGATGAAAAATATCTGGAAAAAATCTTGGAAAATAAACTAGGAAAGGGATGGAAAAGGGGCTGGAAAAAAGCTGGAAAAGGAAAGGGAAAAAGGTGGAAAAAAGGTGGAAAAAGGGATGGAAAAAGTCTGGAAAAAACTGGAAAAAAGCTGGGAAAAAAAACCTAGGAAAGGGATGGAAAAAGTCTGGAAAAAAAGCTGAAAAAGGAAAGGAAAAAAGGAGGAAAAAAGGTGGAAAAAAGGAGGAAAAGGAACTCACCCTTGAGATCCAGGCAGTCGATCCTGGGAGCCAGATCTGTAAATTCCTGGAAAAAAAACAAAAAAACCCCAAAAAATTAAAATTGGGAATTTTCCCAACTTGGGGAAAAAGGAATTGAAGGGAAAAAAAATGGGAAAAGCTTCCTCCCCTCCACCCCCCAAAAAAAAGGAAATTTGGGAATTCTCAGGCTGGAAATGGAGGGTGGGGAATTCCTGGAATTCTTGGAGTAAAAAGGGAAAAAGAGGGAAAA